GGTGAAGAGACCGTCCAGAGTGTCTGTATATAGCACATTCTACTTTATTTATACTGACTTTTTTCCCTCCCAAATACTTGAATATTCTGCAGATATCAGTCTATGCCATTACACACAGGAACTACTGTGGTCTAAGAATAGCAGTACAGGGTCTTTCAAGCATGAAAATCATTGCCTGTGAGTGCACAATTTAATATCACCCTAAGAGACTCAGTCTGCTCAGGATTTCTTCAACTTCAATCTATTGGCACATCTGATGCCAAAATCTACTTGCTAGAATGTGACTGAGTGTACTGGGGTTTGGCATACAAGAAACAAAGTCTACCTTAATTAGCACACTTTCCAACAATAGAAAATAGTACCTTGAATTAAAGTGTGGGAATCTGTTAAAGATCTGAGCTCCTCAAAACTTTCCCAAAGTAGACTTGAAAATGACAATACACTTATTACTTATATGGGTTTCAGCATATTTGACTGGACATGTAGTTTTCTTCCCTGCCCTATCCTGTGTTAAAGAACTTAGGCTTTTCATTCTAATTTGAATAGGAACCTGCACTATCATTAGCATTTACAGACCTATATAGGTTTAGAATTTACTTTCAGAATCTAATATTGCTTACATAAACACATTTATTTTTAATTATTCTTAAAGGTTTCTGCAGTTACGAAAAATACCGGTCACATAGAACAACCTTATTGTGGTAAACACAGTAACTTGATGTTCTGATGACAATTTCTTGGATTTGAGAGAAAGCAAACTACTTCTACAAGACACCATGCAAAGGACTAGCAAAGGCAAGTGAAAGTACAAAATTAACATCTGAAAATGTATCTGTCACGTTCCTATTTTTATCTACTTGCTGATGCACTTGATTCAGGTTTCTACAACGCCTCATAACTGGAAACTCTTACTGTGCTTCCTAATTGCTAAATCTAAATAGTCTAATTAGACTAACTACTGCACAATGCTTTTCTTCATCTACAGATACGCGTGGTACCACTATTCATAGTATTCTCTATCTGAGAGCTGAGTTACAGGACATAAATTATCACTTCCTGTTGAATGACAATGGTATTTCCACTCCGTGAAAAAGGCCTTCCACTAAAAGACTTTTAATTAGTGTAATTAACATGGATCCTAAAGGCCACACCAGATCAAGCAAAAGTACCGCATTATAAAAACAAAGGCCTTAAATTGTGTATTTCAGAAAACTGTGATAAGCTGGTGAAGGACTTCAGAATCTCTTCTTGTCTTATTATCCCTTGTATTGATTGAAATCTCTCCACCTTGAAATTGTTGGTGAGGACAAATCTATTGAGTCTCATTAAATCCAGCATAGGAATGAAGTCCCCAGAGCATTTGGGACCACTAAAGCAGATGCTACACATTTTAGAAAAATATTCTCTATCCTTGAGAATATGAACTACAGCTGCAACATGAAATAGACATCAATTTATTTCCATAAAAGCTCTAATGTAAAGGAGTTATTGTAGAACACAGCATCCTTAAAATTTGTACTTGGAGAAAAAAGATATGTGAAGTCAACCCAACCTGATAAAACAGATTATAGATCTTTACATGCTGCTCACTACAGCTAGATTTGAAAATTTCTGGTCCTCAATAAATATATACATAAATCAAAGCAAGTTTATGACCTCAGATTTATCAGAAATCTTTTTTCTTTTCTCAGTCTACTGTTTCATACTACACATTAACATCTGCACAACGATCTGTTTTTCTCAATGGTACCCTGTTAATGTGAACTTTGAATATGTGAGCCAACCATACTGCCTGAGCTACAGCACAGAGTGCCTATCTGACCACTAACAGAGAGGTCATTGATCTTGCTGTAAGGGACAATATATCATAGGATGTACACGCTGATAGGCTCAATGCCATTTGAAGAAGTAGGAAAATATTCCTTTGTGACTGTATTTATGGAATAGCTGACACATCCTTATCTAGCTGTTGCAGACTGCATATTATTAATGCAGAGAAGACAAACAGAACACAGATTTGTCTGCAATAGTTCATGCCTCTCTCATTCAAGCAAAAAAATAGACATTTATATTATTTCTATAGATGCTGAGTTTTCCAAAAGCCTGCTGTGACTTCCCTAGGACTGCATATCTTGCGATCTGAAAAATTCATGTTACTTTGAAGCAATTACAATTGGCTATTTTATACAATTCTGCTCAGAAATACAGAATAGGACTGTCATGATAAATTAATTCCTTTCCCCTTCCAAAATTCTCTTGATTCAACTTGCTACAAACATTAGCTCTAGTGGACTGTGACTTTGGGAGCTTCACTTACTCCTTTTTTCACCTTTCTTTTTTTTCTGTATTTTTTCAGGTTTGATATTTTATGAAAAGACAACTTAGCAGTTCCACAATAGTAATTTTTTAGCAGATATAAGTTGGCTTTTGCTGGTTTAAGAAATTTATGAGACCTTACTCCTCCATGTAAAAAAATATTGAATTCAACATCTCCAAACCAGCAAATTTTAATCTTTTCTAAGTTGGGAGTACTTGATAGCTATCAAAAACTAGGGCTTGTCTTCTAAACCACACTATTCTTGTTATAAGGTAAGATAGGCAGAAGCTTTAAGTCCTGCCTGAAGCAATTCCAAATGTTCAACCAAGCCCAGATTAGAAGGGGCTTGACCCTCTACCTTATCAATATAACCATCAATTTTACATGTTACTTTAGCAACTATTTTTCGTAGGGTATGTATATGTATGAATGTATTTGTCTTGGTTTAGGGCAAAATTTGGGAGAAAACCTCCAGTGGGGCTCCCCCCGGGAAGCAAACTCACGTGGTTCTTTTTTTCTCACTCCTTAACCAGTTTGGGAAGAGATTTCTCTGAGAGAAGTGGAAAAAACCTGTTTATTTCACAGGCACAGCACTACCCAGCACAAAAATGAATGATATCACATTACAAAACCTCTCGCTCTTCAGAAGAGATGACAAACTTCAGAGGGTCTCTTTCCTGTGGCTGTTCGCTCTGTTATCAGTCTCTCTGGCGCTGGAAAATGCCGCTGCCCAGGCTGGGCTCCCGGTAGTCCACGGGTGCAAGCTCCCGGTGCTCCCCCGAGTCCCCAGTCCAGAGCAGGTTCGATTTGTTTCAAAAAAGGGAAAGAAAACAGTCCAGGAAGAGCTCTCTGCTCCAGCTAGTTGGAAAGCCAAGGCGATCTGTGTCTTGTTGTCTGCCTGTGCTGTAGTCAAAGCTCCCGATGCGGGGGGAGCAAGTACAATCTCTGATAACAGACTCGGTGCTTCTTTTCCACTCACTTTTACTCTGAGATGGAATTTTAAGAATACAAAACCTGTGTCTGGGTTAGGTGGACGAATGGGGATACAATTTAACATCATAATCAACTCAGGACATTCTACTCCTTATCTCTATATCGTCGACTTACTGCTAAAACTAACATTCTAACTCTGCACACATTTACATACATAGAAACTTCCCCTCCGTTCTACTTAAAAAATACAAGCAATATATTTATCATGCCTCTGTCATGCCTCACACTAAGCTACTGAATCTAGACTCTCACGTTGGAGAGCTGCAGGGTTCCCCACTCTCTCATTTTACTCACTCAAAACACCATCTTTCACTTGTTCATACTTTCAACAGTTACGCATTTTCTTCTATTTCATGTTTGCGTGGTTTAATGTACAGACAATGGCAGTAACTTTTTACTCAATGATCAGGTCTCCCTGAGGTACACATTGTGTTGTTCTATCTCTCTGCATTATCTACCATGTACAACTTGGTCCTTGAGCAAAGACAACCCCACGAATGGGTTTGTCTGTGCTCGAGGTAGAATTGACTTAAACTGTCTTCTCTAGCAGACCTCTGACATGTACCACTGGGACTTTGTTTCCGTCTACTACATGTAAAGACTCAGACTGGGCAGGACCTGCTCGGTTGGTGGAACTTCTGGTGTTGACTAACCAGGTGGTTTTTGCTAGATGTTGTTTTCAGTTTTTAAAAGATCTTTTACTCAGTGCTTTTAAGGTAGTTTTTAACAGTTTATTGTATTTCTCTACTTTCCCGGCTGCTGGTGCATGCTAAGGGATATGGTACACTCACTTAATGCCATGTTCCCTAGCTCAGCTGTTTATAAGACTGTTCTTGAAATGAGTCTCATTGTTTGATTCAATCTTTTTAGGGGTGCTATGCCTCTAAAGGACTTGGTTTTCAAGTCCCAGGATGGTGTTCCGGGCTGTAGCATGAGGCACAGGGTAGGTTTCTAACCATCCTGTGGTGGCTTTTACCATTGTGAGCACATAGCGCTTGCCTTGGCGGGTTTGGGGCAGTGTGATATAGTTAATCTGCCAGGCTTCTTTATACTTGTATCTGGACCACCGCCCACCGTACCAGAGGGGTTTCAACTGCTTGGCTTGTTTGATTATAGCACATGTCTCCCAGTCATGGATAACTTGAGAAATGCTGTTCATGGTTAAATTTACTTCTCGGTCTCGTGCCCACTTATAGGTGGCATTTTTACTCTGATGACTTGAGGCATCATGAGCTCATCGGGCTAGGAACAACTCTCTCTTATGTTCTCAATTCAAATTTATTTTTGACACTTGTATCTTTGCAGCTTGATTTACCTGCTTATTATTTTGGTGTTTCTTATTAGCTTTCCTCTTGGGGACATGGGCATTTACGTGGCGGACTTTCACTGGTAGTCTCTTTACTCTGGTAGCAATATCTTTCTACTCTTTAGCAGTTCAAATTGGTTTTCTTCTACGTTGCTAATTAGCCTCCTTCTACTTCTCTAACCATCTTTACAGAGCATTGGCTACTATTTATGAATCCGTGTAGAGGTAGAGCTTTGGCCACTTCTTTCTTTCAGCAATGTCTAGGGCCAGCTGAACAGTTTTGAGTTCAGCAAGTTGACTTGATCTACTTTCTCTTTCAGTGGCTTCTGCGACCTGTCGTGTGGGGCTCCATACGGCTGCTTTCTACTTTCGGTTCATCTCTACGATGCGACAGGAATTATCAGTGAAAAGAGCGTAGCGTGTTTCTTTTGCTGGCAGCTGGTTATATGGTGGAGCTTTTTCAGTCCTTGTTACTTTTTCTTGTTCTTCATCTGTGAGACTAAAATTTTCACTTTCAGGCCAGGTTGTAATTATTTCTAAAATCTCAGGGCGATTCAGTTTACCAATACGGGCACGCTGCGTGATGAGGGCAATCCACTTGCTCCATGTGGCACTGGTTGCATGATGGGTGGAAGGAACCTTTCTCTTGAACATCTATCCTAGCACTGGCAGTCGGGGTGCTAGGAGGAGTTATGCTTCAGTGCCAATCACCTCTGAGGCAGCTTTGATTCTTTTATAGGCTGCTAAAATTTCTTTTTCTGTTAGGGTGTAGTGGGCTTCGGACCTTCTGTAGCTTCTACTCAAAAATTTTAATGGTCAGCTTCGAGTTTCTTCAGGCACTTTCTGCCAGAGGCTCCAGGACAAGCTATTGTTCCCGGCTGAAGAGTAGAGCACGTTTTTCACATCTGGTCCTGTTCTGACTGGGCCAAGGGTTACTGCATGGGCGATTTTTTGTTTGATCTGAGCAAAGGCTTGCTGCTGCTCAGGGCCCCAGTGGAAATCATTCTTCTTCCGAGTGACCAGGTAAAGAGGGCTCACAATCTGACGGTATTCAGGAATATGCATTCTCTAAAACTCTATGGCACTTAAGAAAGCTTGCGTTTCCTTCTTATTAGTTGGTGAAGACATTGCTGAGATTTTGTTGATGACATCAGTAGGAATCTGACGCCGTCTATTTTGCTACTTTACCCCCAGGAACTGGATCTCACGAGCTGGTCTCTTAACTTTGCTTTTCTTGATGGCAAAATCAGCTTCCAGGAGGATCTGGATGATTTCTTTTCTTTTCTTAAACACTTCTGCTGCTGTGTTTTTCCACACAATGATGTCATCTATGTACTGTAGATGTTCTGGAGCCTCACTCTTTTCTAGGGCAGCCTGGATCAGTCCATGGCAGATGGTGGGGCTGTGCTTCCACCCCTGGGGCAGTCGGTTCCAGGTGTACTGCACTCCCCTCTAGGTGAAGGCAAACTGAGGCCTGCATTTTGCTGCCAGGGGAATGGAGAAAAATGCATTAGCAATGTCAATAGTGGCATACCACTTCGCTGCCTTGGACTCCAGCTTGTACTGGAGCTCCAGCATGTCCGGCACGGCAGCGCTCAGCGGTGGAGTCACTTCATTCAATGCACGATAGTCTACAGTCAATCTCTATTCTTCTTCAGATTTACGTACAGGCCAGATGGGGTTGTTGAAGGGTGAGTGGGTTTTGCTGATTACTCCTTGGCTCTCCAGCTCTCTGATCATCTTGTGGATGGGGATCACAGCATTTCGAGTTGTTCTATATTGTCGGCGGTGCACTGTCGAGGTGGCAATTGGTATTTGTTGTTTTTTCAC